AAATTTTCAGTTTTGCATTTTGTGGTTTTTACCACGACCTCACCCCCTGTGGATGGATCTTCACCAAATTTGGCATGAAGGTTTGTTGGATTCATGGGAAGAAACACGCAAACTTGCGATTTCACCTTTTGTGTTTTGCAGCTTTTATGGGCGTTTTTGTTGACCACTACTTCTCCCCCTGTTGATGGATCTTCACCAAATTTGGCATGAAGGTTTGTTGGATTCATGGGAAGATACACGCAAACTTGCGATTTCACCTTTTGTGTTTTGCAGTTTTTATGGGCGTATTTTACGATTACGTGTATGGGAAGCAGCTTTTAATGTCATAAGATAACCTTTCATTAATCATGAATTTACATAATTTCCGTCCAGGGGTCGAGTACTACAGGTAGTAATGCATATTCTATACTACTGCAAGTGTGCGTATTCGCTTAAAGTCACGAGCGCAAGGTTGAGGAAAATATTGACTTTAAAATAATTGTTGATCTTATCGACACAATTCTAAATGTGCATAAAAAATTATATTTGTTTATTAGCGCCATCTACTGTCTGTAACATAAGGATGACAATAATGCTTAAAATACGTGTCTATTATTTTTTTCAATACACATAATGATAAAAATACAATTTTGCTCAAGTATTAAGTTAAACTATTTCATATTGTTTATTAATTACTATACTCAGATAATTAATTATATCTTTCACACGAAACTACGTCTGTTAGGGTTAGCTTTATCGATGATTATACTATATCTCGTTAGGCTTAGTTTTAAACGAAACTACGTCTGTTAAAGTTAGCTTTATCGATGATTATACTATATCTCGTTAGGCTTAGTTTTACAGTTGACTACCCATATTAGACTTACCTTAGCTTTTTCATCTCGGGGTAACGACACAGCATAAATGTTAACTGTTCCCTACTCTTTAATCTGGTGCGACACATTACAGGTTTATCACATTAGGCTTACCTGTACTCTTCGTTTTTTGTTTTTTTCCTAACAATAAATGAAAAAATAAAATGCATATTATAATTATTTTTCCGCTTTTCAACATAATATTCCTAAAAAGTAAGGTATGGTCTAGGAGAAAAGAAAAAAATAATTTATATTATACTCCAGTAAAATTGGAAAGGTTGTTGTTTGTTATTAAGCACAAAGGGCTATCTGTGCTCTGCCCACCGCGGGTATCGAAACCCGGGTTCAAGCAGTACAAGTCCGCAGACATGCCACTGGGTGGCAAAATTTGGAAATGTTTACAAGAAGTTGAGAAAGATTAATCCGTAGCTTCACTATGGGGAAGTTGAACATATCAGGCATTTTTCTTTTTACGAGCTGCCCCCAGTGGCACAGCGGTATGTCTGGGGACTTACAACGCTAGAAACAAAGTTTTGATACCTTGGTGGGCAGAGCACAGATAGCCCATTGTGTAGCTTCGTGCTTGGCTTTAAACAAACAAATTTTACATGCTATAAAACATCAATGTCAGTTTATTTTCATCTTATTAATAGGCCGATTCTATTCAACAAATTGGGGTTATTTATACCATCGCATAAACTGTAAAGAAACGTCGAAAAAAGGATATATTACTTTAATAACTAATCAAGCTTGTAGCTTATAACATTTTTAATTACGAATTAGTGTAGATGTACGTCAGCGCAACTTTATCGTTAATGGCAGAGGGATAAACTACAACCAAATATTTATCAACATCGAACGGCCATCCAGTGTCTCGGCTGCAAACTTGAGAGCTTAAAACTAAAATTCGGAGCTTGTTTCCTGCGGTTGGCACAGGACAAACTACCCATTGTATAGCTCTCTGCTCTGCAACAAACACTTAATATTAATTAAGAATTTTCGCGCAAAGATACACAGAGACTATCTGCTCATAACTGTTCTTAATTTTAAACAGATACACTAGAGAGAAGAGAGTTTGTTAAAGTATCTACCACAGACGCTTGAAAAACTCTTGTTTAACGGATTAGTGGGATTTGATGGTTACTGTTGTAACGCACCCACTGCCCCTAAATGGGAAGCGTGTTTTTACGACAACGAGACGCGAACTGAAACCCAAATATTCACAGTCCGAGTACGCTGACTTTAAAATTCATTATATTGAATGTTTCATACATATATATATATATGGGCCACGTGTAATGACCCAATATGGTAACTTTTTGTTAGGCTTAGTATGTTTAATCACAACCGTAAAGCAACGTTCCCTCTATTTTTTTCAGTCCACGTGCGGAATGAATTTTTCATGTGCACCAGTATCAATTTTTCATGTGCACCAGTATCAATGTGTGGATGTGCGCTACCAGTTTTTTGTTTTAGGGGGAGGGGTATTTTTAGACCATCAACCCTATTGAATCATTGGGCCATTTTGCGATGCTACCAGGTGGTTATTTGGGCTTTAGGCCTATCGTCTGCTTAGAGTGAACACTGTTGTAGATATTACATGCAATTAGCATCTTCGTGATTGTTGGTATATATCTAAAAAAAACAAAAAAACTGAAGCTTCTGTCATATCTTGCTGTATATTGCCTATGTGCAGTGTTTTATTCAATGGTTTTATTTTAATTGTAAATATGGGGTGTCTCTCATAGAATTGTGATAACAAGGAAAATACTTAAATAAAATATATGCTGTATTTATATCAACGCTTACATCTGTTTGTCGAATTTCGTGACAAATCAATGGTTGAAATGTTCGTGTTTTCTTTTCGCCGTACAACTCACTAAATAATAAGTCACTTGAAAAAATTTTTTTTATTCACGTCTTATTTCTCTACATATGTTCCTGAATTATTTTTACATCATTAGCACCAAGGAAAAATAATCGACATATTTAACAAACAAAACCAAAGAAATTAAATTTGGAGTCATATTAAATTCCAAAAATGCATATAATTTTAAAATTATCATTTACAATTAAAACTAAATAACAAATACCATCTAAAGTAACAAACAATTTTAATGAAGTTTGAATTTTAACTTAACTCCACTATTTTTATGGATATCATTAGTAACAACTGTATCTTGCAAGAAACTAAATAAAAATTACCATCTAATAAACAAGTAACAAACAATTCTAAAGAAGTTTGAATTTTAACTTAACTCTTTTTTTTTTATGCATACCATTAGTAACAACTGCATCTTGCAAGAAGAGTGACAGTAAGCTGCTAATCTGACATGTAATTTGGACAACAAAATAGTGTTGTTAGGCTTAACGGATATTAGGCTTAAAATCGAGCCATGGTACTTTTGCTACACCAACCTTGCAAGAAAGTTACACATTCGCAAATGTTAGTTTGTGCGAAAAAAAAGGAGCATTTGGAAATACGATTTGATCAACTCATGTTTATAAAAAGCGTACTTTATAAGCGATTTGCTCAAAAACGTAAGCTGTGATAATTTAAAAGAAACACAAAACGATTAAAGTCTTGAAACAGGCTTGTTTCATGCAGGCGAATCGCTAGGCCTACTTATGTATATACAATCGTTATTTATATATATTCAAAAAGTTTGGACTTCAACGTTTTATACTAGCCAACTAGCTAAGGTAAAAGTATACAATATTTTTTATAAGTCAAAACTGTTCCCAGAAAAAAAAGTGACGACACAAAATACACATACAATGTCCTCTGTACAGCATGGCACTTACTGTTATAATACAGCATCCACAGCAAGTAACATTAACGTAACTACTGCTAAATATTAAAGGATCGTTACTGCCCTCTAAATACCCATAAAACACCTACACAAAATATTATTTTACAGTATCGATTTTTATCAAAAATATATATAGTTATTAACAAATATGCATGTTTTTAATATGAAAATTTTTAGCAATACATTCACAGCTTCAAACATTGAAAATATAAAAACAAATCACTCCAATTATTCAAGAACGATTTTTAAAGGTGATTGCTTGCATTAGTTTTACTTAAAAAAACTGAATACAAAAATATTAAAAGTCTGGACATAATGATGGCACTAAAAAATTTAATTCATGAAATAAAATAAAATAATTGCGTAGGCGAGGAAATAACAAAATGCAAAATAGAATATAAAGTGGTGGTAAAAACTCGCTAAATTAAAATAACTTTATTAATAAAACGAGAAAACGAAGTTTCGGGCAACAGCCCTTCATCAGGTTACCAGTGGCAACGACACTGTTTATTGCCACTAAAAATTTAATACAAGGTAACTTTTTTAAACATTTTTTTGTTGCTGTTTAACGAATCTAGTAATTGGTGTACGATTTTAGATTCTCCTAAAATTACAAATATGTGAAAAAGATAAAATATGAAATTACATTGTCTATATAGGGGAGAAACAAGATTTTCTTGTAACATTTTGTGTATGAAAAACAAAATGGGACAAACACGCCAAGTACTACACTCATAAAGAGTAAATATTGTTAAGTGAAACAGAAGAAATACAAAACTAACCTACTGTAAACTCATAAAAAAAAACTCACTCAATCAAGTTATGAATGGTCCATTATACTTGAATTTTACATCTGCACCACCTGATGGAGGTTTAAGATTAAACATGATTTCATTACAGTTTATCTGAATATAAAATATATATTTTTTCTCCTCGCATAGCTAAAATGAATTATTAAGTTGGAAAATACACGTTCTGCTGAGTTTATAATAATAATTGATGACGACAGTTTCACCTGAATGATATAAAAAGTACAGTCTGGAGAGCATAAACAACTGCTTTAAACGTAAAAGCTTGTTTAAGCATCGAAAGTAACAAAGCTGCTTGTACAAAAACATAAGCAAAAAGTAACAAAGCTGCTTGTACAAAAACATAAGCAAAAAGTAACAAAGCTGCTTGTACAAAAACATAAGTGAAAAAGTAACAAAGCTGTGCTTTTACAAAAACATAAGCAAAAGTAACAAAGCTGCTTGTACAAAAACATAAGCAAACGAAAAAAAAACTCCTGACGTCACATTTTCAAGCGATCTAAGTGGCTATTAACACTATTTTGTTTTGAAGTCGTTTTATATATCTCTGACGTCACATTTTCGAGCGATCTAAGTGGTGGAGACAATTTTGCGCGTGATTCAATTCAAGAAAGAGTACACATTGTTTGTAAACAAATCATTTTATGTCGATAAGTGTAATAAGAAAAAATCATGAGATTCAAATTGCACAAAACTCCCGATATATAAAACGACTTCAAAACAAAACAGTGTTAATAGGCTCTCCTTTTCCCCCATTTTTCACGAACACTAATCAACGATTACCGAAAGATTGACTTAACATGTTGATGAAGATAGAAATTGAGCCACGACTCTGTTAACCACGGAGATAAAATTAACTTAATCTAAAGAGAGGGTTTGCAAGTTCCATTTCGGTACTGTTACTCAAATTAAAATATTGTTATTATTATTATGTATGAACAAACTGTCATCTATTTTTCATGTAAATTTATCCTCCTTTTCAATTCTCTCAGTTTCTTAGTCATGTTCTTAAAGATGGATTAAGATTGGAGAGGATACTTGTTGATGACAATGGATATTTGTTTTTTAGGGTTAGCCGCGGATAAAGTCTGGTCTAAGAAATAGCTTAATCTCCCTCTATTAAAATCATTATTATATTCACAATGTCCAGATTACTCCTACGTATCGGTACTTAATTTAATTTTTGGTGAGTTAACCCGCCTCTTTATTAGTGTTGTTATTTCAATTATTTTTTTAGGGGGGGGGAGTTAGGACATTGCTTTAGCCAGTTCGCGTCAAGAATTTGAAATCAAAAGATCAAAAAAAATGTTTGCAAGAGAAACATATTCACAAGACTGCTTGTCGGACTTCTGGAAATTCAAAGTTATTTGTGCAGATAACCATCGACACCTACTGTATCTGTTCTCCCACACTGAGACGCCACCAGTGGTAGAACTGTGACACCTACTCTATCTGTTCTCCCACACTGAGACGCCACCAGTGGTAGAACTGTGTCTTTTTGACCAATGGGCCTGGTCGTGGGTTTTGTGACTGGACGCGTTCTTGATCTCCAAATGACTGGACAAAGGAGAGAAGGATGATAACGGGATGGAAGAGCCAGATACTGGAGATTGTCTGCTGACCCTTGAGGAATACCCACTCGATTTACTATCTGGTGTGAACTTCGGGGTTACAAACAGACCACCACCACCAGCCTGATGAGAAGTAGTATGGAAATAAGTTCCCGAAGGAGAATCTGGAAGTGATGAGGTTGAAGATGTTTCATAATTTCCTGATTGGTTCATTTTTACCATATGGGGTATTGGGCTTGAGGGGGCGTAGAAGAATCTAAATGTTTTGGTAAAGGTGGAGGCATATCTCTACTTGTCCTCTGTCTTCTATTGGTATGGTTCTTGTAAACATCAGATTCATCTGTCGAAAACGTAAGATCTCTCTCACTTGAACCCAAGAGATTTTGCATAAACTGATGACGTTTCACTTCGGATCCGGACTGTTTTTTGTTAGGTGTGATAGAAATGTCGATGTTACTATTGTGGGTATTTTTGTAGTAGCTCTTTTTGTCGTTTAAAAAACTATTACTTTCATAACTATCGCTGTGGTCTCGGAAAGAACCTTCTTCTACCCTATTGATTCCCGAAGAATGACCTCCTTTAGTTTTCTTTTTGTGCGACCTAGAATTCCAGAATGTTTCATCTGCGTTGCGACCAAAGTCGTGAATCGAGGACTCTCTTAAATCCCCCATACTGCTATGGAAATTGGAATGTCTTTTTGTCACCCCTGAGTCTCTTTCTATGGTGAAGAACCCTTCACGATAACTAGGGCTTGAGCTGTAATCACTTACAAAACTGTGGTCGTTGGGGTTAAAAGTTTGTCTGTTTGAATACCTATGTTCAATACCATAAAGTTTGGCATCTTGGTTTCCTTCTGGCACTTTCTTCTTGGTAGTTTTGTAATTTGCATCTTTTTCATCTCCGAAATAAAATGTCTGGGCTGGTGTTTTTAATGTAGAAAGGTTGAGACTAGTGTGAATTTTTGGTTCCTTTTCCTTGGAAGTTGATTTTTTACCAGAGAATCTCGGCAAACTTTTTGAAGTCCGATCATTAGAAATATGATCTGGAGATGGTGATATTCTTCTGGAACCATTAGATGCACGAACTGGAGATGGAGATCGTCTTCTGGAACCATTAGGTACACGAACAGGAGATGGAGATCGTCTTCTGGAACCATTAGATGCACGAACTGGAGATGGAGATCGTCTTCTGGAACCATTAGATGCACGAAATGGGGATGTTGAATGTTTTCTTGGGAACGTTGATGATTTGCTTTCCTCATCAGACAAATCAACTTGAACACTCAGGTCACTTTTTTTCTGGTTTTTGTGTTTCCTCTGTACTTCAGTGGTATTGTAGTTCTGACGAGATGTTTTCTCTTCGCCTTTGAATCTAGTGTCTCTAGGAAGAGTCTGAGAAACTGGTGTATTCTCGCCAATAAAATAAGTTTCTTTTGAAGTCTTGGAACCATCATATATCGTAAAACTCCGAGGAGTGTCCTTCTGGGAATGAGAACGGTGAACAAATCTTTCTGGAGATCTCTCTTCATGCCGGACAGTTTTCTGTTTGTGGGTTTTTTGTTTTTCTTCATCGTTGAGGCTGCGATAATAATCATCCCTGATGGAAGGTGTTGATTTCCAGCCATCAGATTGTCTCTTCAAAGATGTCGGTTCAAGTTTGGTGTGTTTTCTTTTGTAAGTATTGTCATCACCTAAATAGTACGTTTTTGAAGGTGACTTTGAAGGCGAAGGAACTGAACGACGATATACTGAATCGGTCTGTTTAGCAGAAATCCCCGAAATAGGTGGTGATCTGGTACTTTCTCGTCGGCTTGGTGGAGATGTCGATCTTGGTAGTGGTGAAGAAACTCTCTTCTGTTCGGAGTGCCAATCTTTTACTTCGGATATGCTGTTGGTGGAAAGTCGATTATCTTGGAAAATTCTGGAATGTGAAGCAGCATCGTGATCTTGAAAACGTCTTCTAGATTTGCTGGCTTCTAAAGTACACGTATCTTTTTGTTCGATGTGAAGCTTATCTCGCGAAGTCGGTCGGGGCGATCCAGTCATTTGAATTTTGATTACATTTCCACCAGCTTTCGTTGTTTTCGTAGTTTCCTCTACGTCACTTCCGCTCTCAGATCCAAAATGATTTTCCAGCCATCGGTTTGTCTCGCTGTTTCTTATCACTTCTTCTTCATCTAGATTCAACGTTTTCTTCGTTACCGGGTCTCTCCTACTTGGAGAATGATCTCGAATAAAATTATTTTCTCGTTCTCGGCGCATCTTTTCGCTAAGACTATCAAACTCGTCGTCATCTCTATAGTACTCGATGTTCCTGGTTGTCTCTTTAGATACTTCTGGAAGAGCCGTTTCATCAACTTCGTCCTCTGGTACTTCGTCATCCTCTTGTTCTTCGTGATGGTGTGTCTTCGTGGTCTCAGTGACAACTTCTCCATCCTTCAGTTCTGACACTTCCTTCACTTCTTCTTTGTCTGTGACTTTTTGGGAGCGACAGGAGTAGTGAACGACCTTTCCTGGATAAGGCTGATCTTGGTCTTCCCCAGCTATAAACAAAGAATTATCTGGAGCCATCAACGCCTTTTGGTGGAATTCCTGCAAATAAAATGGAACAACTCAAGCTTTTCTTCCTACTATACTTATCAATATACGCTATCAATTGATATTTAAAGGTAGTTTCTACTTTTGACTAAAACTCAACTTTTTATAGAGTGCAGCAGTTGCTGGTAGGTAAGTTATGAATTATCATCCCCCGGTAGGTCAGCGATAAGTTTACGAAGGCTACAATCTAGGGTTCGAGACACCGCGGTGGACACACCATATAGCCAGCCAAGTGTGGCTTTGTGATAAAAATTTCACGAATTAGTGAAAAAGAAAATTTTACTACAAAACATTGTTGTATGATATTGTTATTTGAATCGTTTCCAAGTTAGATTTTACTACAAAACATTGTTGTATGATATTGTTATTTGAATCGTTTCCAAGTTAGATTTTACTACAAAACATTGTTGTATGATATTGTTATTTGAATCGTTTCCAAGTTAGATTTTACTACAAAACATTGTTGTATGATATTGTTATTTGAATCGTTTCCAAGTTAGATTTTACTACAAAACATTGTTGTATGATATTGTTATTTGAATCGTTTCCAAGTTAGATTTTACTACAAAACATTGTTGTATGATATTGTTATTTGAATCGTTTC